TGGTTACGTTTAGGGGCGCCTATATCAGCGCCCCTGAACGTGAAAATATAACTTTTATTTCAACTATGAATATATTGTAGTTTAAATTAACTAATATGGGAGATGTACGATGTATTTATTCAATGAGGCGAGGGTGAGTAATTATCAAGGATAGAACTGATAACGGTATGGATAATAAAGATTGACAATTACGTCATTAGCTTTACTTAGTGTCGATTAGTTTTGATGTTAGGACACCAAAGTTAAATTATGTGTACTGTGAATTTTATTGGATACTGTAGTTTTATTTAAGGTCTTTTCTATTCAGACCTACTGGAAATTGTGTATAGTAGTTGTATTTTGGTGATAATAATTATGGAAGAGGCAGGTATGCTAATGTGGCACGACCGTAGGCTACTTATTATCAATGTGCGTTTGTGCGAATCGGCTGCAAATCTCACTTCAACACTTTTCACGTCGTAAAAATTGCAGAATTGCTGTTTTATTGTAAAATTATCGGATTTAAAATGCATATCGTATAGGCCTATCATGATGGAATAAAAACAGATTTGGTCACACAACATTTGTTTACAAGATTGATTTTTCACATTAAAACTGCAAGAAACTTTGTCTTTATATGTGTAAACTAGCCGATCTGAATTGTACACGGTTTTAACTGACTTCTGAATTCCCGTACGTAGGACGGGCTAACACCTCGTTCATATTTAAAGGGAATTAAAGAATTTAGTCAGCTGTTTCAACTAAAAAAGTTTGTTCTATTATATGAAAAGCATTGAAAAGTTATAAGATTTACCAACAGGGTGCAGCACTATTATTTTTTTGCATTTATGGAAACAGCTAATTTGAACTAAACAGAGACAAAAAACTATGATACGCAATGAGATCTGTCAAAGTAGGATTGTTTGCAGTTATGTTTATGTTTTTAATTTCATAAATAATTTGCCATATTTTGCAAATTTTTGATAATTTTTTTCTCTTATGTTTAGGTGAAGTGGCAGAACATTATGGCTATGGTAGATGTGTAATACTATTACAGTATACTGTAATTTTAAAGAAGCAAATTTTATCAAACTGTGTTCTCCCTCATTGCAAACGCAAAGCTTTAGTATAACTGCAATAAGCATTTTATACTTATATGCCTACCCCGTACGAAGGACGGGTACTCTGCTAGTACCTATATAATAAAGTGAGCAATACAAAAAAGTTTGTACACCAGAGGCAGGCGAGAGATTGCTTGGACACTGGAAAATTATGTAATTTATAGTAGATCAAAACCCTTTCTCAAGTGAAGAAACCTTGCGCTATTGACATCAGGAGTGGTTTCCCATGATTCTGTGAGTGTTTACCAAGCAAAGAAAGTTGTGGAGACCTAATTATCCAGTCTATTCATAATCAAAATATTTTGAATCATTCATTCAAACGAAGGTGCCAGGCCAAAGAACAATGGCCTCAAAGAACATCAAAGTAGGCCAAGATGTTGTATTGATCCACAATTGTTTTTCCAAAGAAATTTATTTGCCAATAACGGATTAACACCTATATAGTACAGTTTGATTAGAAGGACAATTTTAATTGGTCGTAAGTACTATAGTTCTTTTCTATGTAAACGTTGGTTTTTGGTACTGCTACTTTTCCTTCGAACCGGTGGTAGCAGTAAGAATCATTTTTACGTACAAACACATCACTATTTACAACTAACTATAGTTATCGTTAGTGCTGCACCTTATTTCTTATTAAATTTAATTGGTGTATTACTGTAGGCTATCATTTTGTGTTTTCTGGACTCCAAAATGTTAGTTTATGCTATGAAAATGATAATAACATTAGTGAAAGATTTATTTTAGCAAACCATCATGAATTTTTAAAGCTTGGCGTTGTTAACGTATAAATTTTTTGTGGACTGTGTATTTATTTACTTATTTATATATTTGCCAACGGATTTACACAAATTTTACAGTTTGATTAGACCTATAAACGATTATCATAAAATTTTATGACACTATCAAGACTTTCAAATAGCTATTTTGTTTGTACCGGTAATTTGCTTTGGTTAAAGCGTAGCAAATCCCCTAATTCAATTCTGTATTTGTGTGTGTATGTCTGTTGGTAACCTATTAATGTCCTTATTTCTCAGAGTTTCGTGGAAAAGACAAGAGCACCTTTGTTAATGAAAATTTCAACCCGAATAAAGTGTGCAGTAGTGAGGTTGAGGTAGTATTTTAAATACTTTTGACAAGTGTGGAAAGTAACTTTCAATTACAGGCCTACCTTAGGGCTATATGCCTCATAGATCTATAAAGCAATTCCTTTTATCATTATATAAAATATGGACTAACACACGATCGGGTGACATTTAATTACGAAGCATTCGTTTTAGCTTTGAAACTGTCAGATATTGTATTTCCGAAGGTTTATATGTATTCCCATACAGTAATAGTTTTGCCAGCATATCTGGAAAAATGAACACTAAATATGCAAACCAACTCCTGTTCTGAATAAGGTTTCAACTTACTACAAGATTCCCGTACGTAGAACGGGCAAACAGCTAGTGTTAAATAATTTCAAGAAGATTCCTTGCATTTACACTTGTTCTTATTTTTGAATTTAATTTATTTTTCGAATGCTTTTTTTTGTCCCTTCAATATTGAAATTGTTTGTAATCATGTAAAATGGTCATAAGCCAAATTTGTTACTGTTTAAGAAGTAGGAAATATATTTTTGTACAGTTAATAGTTCACATTGACTCAAGATCAAGATGGAAAAGACAATTAGTATTATAAGTAACACTGCAGACAAGCCTTTGGCTTGGCCAAAGGCTTATGCAGTTTTGTATTATAAATTCATTGTATATGTGCTGTACCAAGTAATAAATAAATAAATTACCACCATACTTATAAAATTATTACAAAATTACCTAATGTACACAGGGGTATGTCATACCCCCACCTGCGTGGTTAAGGGTTAACAAAGTTCTCTTAAAGTACATACAAGACCATTCTGAACATTTGTCAACAACTTGTCAAATGAAGTGATTGACATTCTAATAAATAGTTACGGGAGCAGATTGCTTAGATCTATTTTAGTGTCAGCCCTTTGAAGTGAGGTGTCTCATTTAGTGAACATTCTCTAAATAACTGCTCCTCCTTGCCTTCATCAGCTGATATTGTCAATCAGCTGTTTGATTAGTGTTTCAACCTAAAACTGACTAATTACAATCTTGCCAACATAACAGCTGATTGATGTTAAAATCAACTGACCCATATTTGTAATCAAGACTTCGGAAAAATCTGAGCTCACTTTTCAACCATTGTCCTAGAAGTTATTTTGTGACTAGAAATACTCTATTAATTTTAAGGATTTTTATGTCTTTGAAAATGTCAAAAGATTGTTTATCAAATCTTTTAAATTTTACAATATTTTACTCAAATTATAGTGTCATTTTTAAAAGGTGTTCTGTGGCTTTTTTTTAACTTCTATTTCCCCCTGGACTCACAAGAAACTGTCTCAGGTAAGCTAACTGAACTCCATGGTCAGCCACTTTGGTTTTCCTATAAAATATATTCTATAAGAGAGAAATTTTAGAAATAAAGTAAATTATTTTAGAAATAAAGTAAATTAATTTTGAACATAATCAGTTGTATTTTAATTTTTGTTATTTAAGTTTCCCATGTAGTCTTTTAAAAGTAAAAGAATCTGCATGAAGTTAGCCTTCATTTTTTCATTGAAGACAGTTAATACTTTTTTCATTTATAATCAGCTTGTGGGACTATGAATAAAAAAGTCCTTAACCTCCAAAAAAATACAATTGGAATAAACTAAAATAATTTATAAATAAAAAACTTTTTTAAAACAAAAAGTTTTTAGACACACTAAAAAGTAGAAAATAATTTATAAATATGTTGAGATTATAAATACTTATTAAGATTTAAAACGAACGGGTGCATGCAATAGATAATTTACAACCTTCACCTATTAAACTAATGTATTATTATCAATTAATTGCATGCACCCAACGTTTTTAGTTTTAAATCTTACAAGTATTTATACTCTCAACATATTTATAAATTATTCTCTACTTTTTAGTGTGTTTAAAAACTTTTTGTTTTAAAAAAGTTTTTTATTTATAAATTATTTTCAACTTTTTAGTCTTTAATGTGTAAATATGTTAAATATATTTTATATGGCCTGTTAATATATAACCTTTGACTATTAATACAACAAACCAAAACCTTATTATCTCTAATCAGATGTTTTATCTTTACTTTAAAATGCTTGTTTTATATTTTTAGAATATATCTGGAGCATACCCTGTACCTCTTAACCTTTGCTCTTCAAACTGTCAAATTTAAGTATTTACAGCTGACTTAAATTAATTGATATGTTTACATTCTTTCAAAATGTAAACATGGAAAATGTGGAAGCCCATGGGGCTTATCCCGTGGGAAATATGAAAATTAAATTATATAATATTGCATTGTCATCCATTTGTTAGCTATGTTTCAAATTTCAAGTCTCTAGCTCATCGGGAACTTTGTTTAAGATTGATATCAAAATTTGTAGGAAAGCGACCAGCGAGCTAATAAAAACAAGCCCATGGGGCGTAGCCCAAGGGAAATATGAAAATTAAATGATATAATATTGCATTGTCATCCATTTGTGAGCTATGTTTCAAGTTTCAAGTCTCTAGATAATCGGGAAGTATCAAAATTTGCAAGAAAGCGAGTTTATAAAAACAAGCCCATGGGGCGTTGCCCAACGGAAATATGAAAATTAAATTATATAATATTGCATTGTCATCCATTTGTGAGCTATGTTTCAAGTTTCAAGTCTCTGGCTCATCGGGAACTTAGTATAAAATCGATTGCAAAATTTGTACCGGACAAGAAAGCGAGCCAATAAAAACGTTTTAAAATAGATCAAACTATAGCTACTTAATTACCTTACACTTAAAGAAATAATTATAGAATATGAAAAACAAAAGGAGAAAAACCAAACCAACACTGTTATAATTGCTATTTTATTTGTATTAATCATAATTACTTTATTACAATAGGAATGGTACAGAGTTCTTACGAACTTTTAAACTTGTTAATTCCAGTCTTTCTATTCACAATTACAAGAAACACTGTAACAAAACGACTAATGTAATTAAAATAAAATATACATCCAACAATTCAGGAACATAAGTACAATAAAGATTTTATGCGATCTACAAACCATATACATCTGCTCTAGCTAGGAAAGGAATCGATATCAAAACTATTTTTTCACCTATTTACAACGGGACGGATTTTGCCCGACGAAAAACAATATAAAAAATAACATCTGTACAAAAATTACATAGCAGTTTCAAGGTAAGTCAACAATCATAGAAGTTTATGTTTTCATGTAAATGATTTAGGATGTTTCTAAAAAAATATCAGAGGTTCAACGATTTATATCTACAACATCAAACTGTAGTTAGTTATGTACCATCAAATGTTAGTACCTAAATAGTTTTACCAAAACTAAAAAGTAAATCGGTCCCAGGTCTAGGTCTTACCTTGAGACCTACAGGAATAGCTTACTCCCTAAATGAAAAATTCGCTAAAACATGATTAGGACGTATTTTATCTATATAATTAATACGCTACATGAAACTTTGTCGGTTGAACTCCTCCGCCATTTCTTAACCGATTTTATCCATTGACGTCTCATTGGAAAGAGCGTGTCGCGTAGATTTGCAAACTGGCCTTACATTTTTGAAAAAGTCCCTTGGGCTCTGCCCCAGTGGCTTTGAAAGTTTACATGTTATCCTTATGAAGAACATAATTGTTTACATTTTGATCAGCTGTATAATTTAACTGCTGTTATTTATTTTTCAATTCAATGTAACACATTGAGTACGTTTATTTACTATTTGAGTTTGTTTAAACATAACCCCCAAGACGGATCGTGTTAGTAGGGTTGTATCTTAAATTTGTGTATTTATCGTTGTTTTGTGTCGTTATGACGGATCGTGTTAGCATGATTGTAACTTAAATTTGTGCATTTATCGTTGTTTTGTGTAGCTATAATTTGTTTATTTTGTTTCTTCTTTTAAATGCCTCCGACGTGACGACAACGAAACATAGACAGGAGGCGTGATAACGACCGCAGCTGCAGAACAGTGGCGCGTAATAGGTTTAACTTATCACAGTCAGCACCTGACCCTTGACAATCTCAACTATTGGCTACAAATGCACCCTAACACTACCCCAAAACGACTTTTCGTTCTCAATTGGCCCTCTGTCAATGACCTGTGTTGCCTGTACAGCGAGGTATTTTGAGAAGGAGAAAACCGGCCGGAATGATTTAGGTTTATCAATAATGATCTGAGTTACAGACCGGTAATCTTGAGTTGACTCTTTTAAATTAATTGTAAATATGCCTGTTATTCGTTTTAAAATAAATCCTGTAACACTTTGCAATTGCTCGAATTCGAGCAACATGTACACTAGTTATTATTATTTTGTGAATATTTTTGTACTTATCTGTGCCCTTGCAATATTAGGGGAAAAGTATGTACTTAATACTTTTACAAATTAGAATTGTATCTCAAGATATTTAATGTTGGTTGCAAACTCGCAACAATATAATGTCTTAGTGCATAACCTTGCAACTGCCAACAATTCGCATCATTTAGTATTGAGCGCTGCTTTAAATAAACCGAAATATTGTTGGAAATGTGTTGATAGCTATTATTGGACTGTTAAATGCAGTAAGCAAATTTTCAGTTTTTGATTAAATAATTGGGAGGGGTTTTGTGCATAGAGATTGACTTTGAATATGTTTTATGTTGGCAATACTTAAGCTCTATCTATACACATTTTTTCTTTTACTTTAGGGTAATCTTTACAAAATCAATAAACAAATTTAAAAAAATTGTGTCAAAACCATTCTCTATACAAACCGGGCAGAAATAACTAATGGTACATTAGTTAGGTAACAGTTACCCAAAATTAAGTCACTAAATGAATTGTTTATTCCTATGAAAGTTTATAAAACTGATTTGTTTTATTCATACCTATCTTTTAAAAGGGAACAGTTCAAGCTTTGTTTTATCTATCATCAATTATTAAACTTTTGTTAGCAAAATGAAAAATGTATTCTGGATCTGTATACAGAAAATTCTGTAATTAATATTGTCTAGGATCGAACCAGCAAACTTCAGATTAGAAGGCAAGCAAAACAACCTCTCGGGCATCCAGACTATGGGTCTGGAAAATCATGGGTGTCCAGTTGGTGGTTGTAAATATTGGGACCCTGTAATTGTTTGGGTTTAATTAATGTACCGGGTGTTTCAAAATGAATGACCCAGTTTTAACGCTTTATAACTTTTATACTATTAAACTTACCGCTATAAAATACACATCAAACGAAAAAGCAGCTCAAAGAGTTTATGCCTTCCAAAGACACATTATTTAACAAAATCGATCCAACAGAACTGTAGATTTAATTGTACAAAGTTAAAAAGTAATTTACAACTGTTTTACCACTAGAAATTTGAAGGTTACTTGAGATTTTTGCAAACAACTTTTAAATGGTGAGGAAATCAACCAAAGTGGAAGGCAATATTCCGAAAGAGAATACAATTTCCTACAATCTACTATTATGCATTTTTTGAAAATATTCAAAAGAAAGGTGCCAAAAATTACCTGAAAATGAAAAAAAAAAATTGAAAATCCCCGTCTTCAATGTAGACAATAGACATACAGTATCAAACATTAAATTGCACACTTTTTTTAAAGGCAAATTTAGGCTACATTTATTGAGTATTTTCAATAAATGCATAATAGTAGACTTTAGGAAATGTTATTCTCTTTCGGAATATTACCTTCCACTTTGGTCGATTTCCTCACCATTTAAAAGTTATTTGCAAAAACGTCAAGTAATCTCCAAATTTCTAGTGGTAAAAAAAGTGGGAGATTACTTTTTCACTTTGTACAATAAAATCTACAGTTCTGCTGGATTGATTTTTAAAAATAATGTGTCTTTGGCAGGCATAAACTCTTTGAGTTGATTTCCTTTTATGTGTATTTCATAGCGGTAAGTTTAATAGTATAAAAGTTAGTTTAAAACCGGGTCATTCATTTTGAATCACCCGGTATAGTCGCGTGATAACTGAATGTCATTACTTCTTTATGAAAAATGTTGATATTTTGCAACTGATCAACAAAAATAGGTTCTAAAAGGCTTTAAAAGATTTTCTAAAATGTTTGCTGGCTTTAAAAAGTAAATACTTCTATGTTTATATTATCATAAAAAATAGCTTAAAGCTGACTGACCTTGAAACTGAACCAAAATTAATTTCAATAGTTAGTTTCAGTTTACAAAACATAACACAAGTAATCAACACATCACAACTAAACATCTTATGTACAAATGTGCAGATTCATCCGTACAACAAAGACGTTTGTAACGAGCTGTTTTGACTTTGGTCAATTTCGGCCAGCGAAAATCATAATATACTCTTCCCAGCCCGGTTAAACTGTAACTTAATGGAAACGGATTGTAAAATTCACTAAGTATTAAACGCCTTGTAAGTCATATAAGGTAAAAACCCCACATTACCTTCAATGTGAAAAATTACAAATCTCTTAAGCGAATTACATACAAAGTTACAAAGCTGTAACCAAATTTTACAAATGTATGAAATATACGAAAGCGAAGGTTTCAAGAAACCCTATTGCCAATGATGAGGTATTGCTTGAATATTCTGAACCGACAGAATAACCTCCCATCCATAGGGGAAAATTCCCTACTCTAAGGGAAACAATTCCTGATTGTAAGAAAAAGCCCTGCGTAAGGAAAGGAGTTCCATGAAGGAAAGTCTCGTTTGACAGATTCGAGGTTTATTCATCTGTCAACCCTTGCCGTTTCTCTTCCAGAAGCATCGCATCCAGTTCATCTGTTAGGTTGGCTAACATGTTACCAATGTCGTTCAGTACATCAGCGGGCTCCTGGCCTTCTTTCCTGTAAGCAAAATTAGTCATTTTATTTTAATCACACTGGACAAGATAAGACACCCCTGCGAAAACAATAGAAACATGCATTGGACATCCCTTGCTCCAGATCTAATGTGTAAGGACATAATGTTAAACATTTTTTCTCTTACAGATTAATGTGGGTTCTAGGGCCCTCATACATGATATATCCAATAAAATCAATAGTATAAGTACAAACAAATCTTAACCCATTGGCGCCGACTTACGAGCGTTACTCGTACAGCCGCTGCAGGCCCGGCGGCCGACTTACGAGTGCCGCTTGTGTCACCGCTAGGCAGCGCCATTAGTTATTTAGTTATTATTATTTTTCGCCCTTTTTGTTTCTTCTTACTATTATAATGTTTATAAATATCTTGCTTCTTGATTTGCGTATTTACTCATTTATTTTAGCGAATAACAAACAATTTTGTGTTGCCATGGAAACCACATATCACCAAAAATCAGCTGCGGTAAGGTAAACAAACAATTACGTAGGGAATCGATTGAACTTTATAATAGTAGTGTTATTTGGTGTCTGGATTAATCTTGGAATTTGTATATCAAGTTTACTTTTAAAATATTGTTTTTAAAATTTTTATTTTTATAATCTTTATACTATATATTTTTTTTTTAGTTTAGAACTTTGACTATCCAACCATTACCACTTTTCTGTAGACAATTTTACTGTGAACAAAATGGTGAAAGAATTATTAATTTATTACCTAAGGTTTTCTTTCTACAGCAGTTAGAGTAAAAGTCTACAAATTCGGTAAAATTAATTGCCGCCAGAGGGTGCTGCAGGTAGCGCATTAATTCCTTCCCCAATGGGTTAAAGTGACGTAAATTGAGTCTCTTTTAAACACTGATAAAACTAAATTATTTTTTTCATTTTCAACCCTTTGAGGTATAAGAGCTTTAATATTCAACTACGTTGATACCAAATTTCCAGAAAATTTGTTGAAAAACGGTGCCCGAAATGGGAGACGAAATAAAAAATTTTTTTAGAGGCTACTAAGCTACTAGCCTTTTACAAAACCAGGCTCAGGCGGCAGATGAATCACCGACGTGTCGATTTAGTAGTCGTGTGTTTACGATGTTTTAAGAATGGCGCCCATAATGACCCTGCACTACACTCCCACCCTCAACACCTTCCGCCCAAGGCCATATCCCCAAAACGCAACTACACCGAGGGTGATGAAGACTCTTAAGGGTAAGGATTCTAAAAGCCTTAGGAGTCCTTGGGTTCTAGCTTGTAAAAAAATAAAAGAAATACAAAGACAATTACTAATCCCACAGTATACTAGATATTTAAATTACAATCACTCTGGTGTTAAAAAAAATATTTTGAGATGGTAACTCTTCAGCAGCTGTTTGAAATTAATGAAATTAACATTGCTCTTATGGCGGGCAAATCCAAGATGGCCGTTAGCTTCCATGGACTACCTAGGAGAACAATTCAAAACTACAAAGAACATTTCTAATCCCACAGTATACTAGATATTTAAATTATAATCACTTTGGTGTTTAGGCCATCGAGATCAATCTATTTTAAATAAATTACTTAAGTTTTAAAGTTGAACCTTCATTGTAGACATACCTTGATATAGACAAGGTGTTTTCATTTGAGGGAGGTTGAACTCGAATGGGTGGAACAAAATCTGTAATATATACACATGGTTAGTTTGATAAGAAATTAGTTGAACATTTATCAACTGTAATAATTGTTACATCAACTGCTTTTGTGTAACAATTAGGTGGTACTAAGATTAGTTTGTACAGTTGAAATATTGTGACATTAATGGGATTAAAATCTGCTGTCATAATGTAGCTAGTATTTTCTTTAAAATCTTCCTACAATTAATTAGAAGTGGTATAAAAAATTCAAAAAACATTCATTCACTGTCTAGAACTAAAAGTTATATTTTTGTATCTCAAGCAAAGCAACCAATTAAATGTAAACTAGATTACATTACACAGGGTTTCCATTTGTAGAGCACAATTCATTCTTTATATGATTTGTCCAAACGAGTAGATGGGTTTGAAGAGTTTTAAATATTGAATTTAGACAGCCAAAAGCATTCTTTTTGTTAAACCCAGAGATTAATAGATACAAAGAGAATAATTTTTTTTCATTACCATAACTAATGAATTCTCAATACCAATACGGTAAACATGTTGAAGAAATGGTGTGTCATAATTCTACTTCTATGAAATCAGAAAATCCAAAAACTCACCTGTTACATTTCTAACAGCTCGCTGTTTTATCGTTCCAGCATTTTCATTGGCGAACGGCAGCGAATCTGACTCAGTACTTGAACTCGACTGAAAATTCATACAAATTTAGTAATGAAAGTAAGAATGTGAATTGTCAATATTAACATAAGTATTGACATATATTCTATCTTTATAAATTGGTATTTAATTTTATTTAACAGTAATTTTAAAGGATTTTCATCATTTTCATCGTTATTATGAAACCTATAGACTTTGCCAAGTTATAAAAAATGATTTTAAATTGTCAGATATCATGAAAATGTTTTGTAACATCTAAAAAATATTTGTTACAAGTTAAGTAAAGACTGAGAATAGTATGAAGGGTTTATCAAGCCCATTTCCATTAAGTTGCACATAAGTTTCAGTTTAAACATTTGGAACTAAGAGCACTTCAGTTTAATATTCTCATATTCACCTACATACCAAATTTTTTTATCATGGCTCTGATTAACCCTTATATTAGATACTTGGGTTTCATATTCTATCAAGCCGTAATCATATACGTCAGGGCCTTAACGTTAATGTTGTCAAACTCACGGCAATGTTTGTTGTCGTCGTTTCATACGTTCTTACTGTGTGAATCGATTGACAAAATCGTAAGATAGATTATTTAAAGGCACTGGTGGAAATGATGCCTTCATAAAAAAAATACCTGGATCATCCACTAATAGAAGAAATATAAATGTGACAGAAAATTTGATATGTAGGCTCATATAACATAATATTATCAAACAGCTTTAGTGGCAAATCACTATGAATTAAAATCTCAATTTGATTTTGTAACGGAGATGTTGTTTTTCACAAGAACGAATACTCTACTAGGTATTGAAGGAGCGAATAGCTTAAAAGATTCTATGTTTATATGTCTATTTTCTTTAGTATGGCAAGCCTGCTGTTAAAACTATCCATTACAAAATCTTAAACAAACTCTGGCATAAAGCCATCTTACCAAAAACTATAAACATTAATTAACTCAATTGAACAGTCAGTCATGTTTGTAACCAAATTAGTCGTTTTCCCTTCTTGTTTTCTCAAAACATGAAATTAAATTTATATTTCATTGCTAGATGAACAACCAACACAAAAGAGTTACCAACCTTAAAGCCACTTTCTGCCCAAGTTTTGGGTGCAGGACAATGCAAGTCTGCCACTACGGTAACACACTCTGACTGTCTCTTTGGTGGTGACGGAGGAAGTCTCTTCAACGTGCCTACGTTCATCATCATGTCCCTGAAACATTATTAAGGACTTTTCAACACATTGTAGCCCACACAAAAAGTTCAGGTTTCATAACTTTTAAGCATTTCAGATAATACAACAAAGCTTTAACACAAATCTACTTTTTGAAGAAAATATATATTTTTCCATCATAAGGAGGGTCCACAAGGAGTCAGAAGAAGCTCTTGTGAGAGCATAGGTTGAGTAGTACACCAAATTAAAGGTATTTATCACAAGAACACACTGCTACAAACCTCATTGTCAAAAGGTTCACCCTTGTCCAAATAGCAGCGGGTTAAAATCATGAACTTGAGCTCTATTGCTATTCCTTGTAATTTTAAGTTGCCACAGTTTTGTTTAGGATGAACATTTTGGGGTCGTGAGCTATGGCGCAGGGAGTTTGTGAGCGTGGACTCGAGCAATCTTTGTGCAGAAGGACAGAGTATATGCTTAATCAAGACTTAATAGCTGACTTTCTTGGTGAAAAAATTGTGATTGCACCCACAAAAGGATGTCCACAGGGAGGTGTACTTTCACCCTTACTGTGGAACCTTGTGGTGGACGGTCTTTTAACTGAACTGACCAGCAAGGGCATCTTTGTCCAGGGCTACGCAGATGACATAGTCCTCATGGTACAAGGAAAATTCACAAACATTGTAGCTGATGTCATGAATGTCAACCTGCAATATGTTAAAGCATGGTGTCTCAGAGAGGGACTTAACATTAATCCCTCTAAGACAGTCCTAGTTCCTTTCACTAGGAAAAAGAGCTTGGATTCTCTTTCCAGGCTGAAAATTGCCACTACTCAGCTGGGAGTGTCGAGTTCAGTCAAGTATTTAGGACTGACACTTGACTCCAAGCTGACATGGAACAACCACTTGAACAATGCACTGCGTAAGGCCAAGTGGGCGCTCATGACGTCCAGGAGATTTGCAGGAACCAACTGGGGAATTAAACCCCACATAGCACTCTGGCTATATGAGGCTGTGGTCAGGCCTCAAATTACCTATGGTTTGCTAGTCTGGTGGACAAAGGTGAATCAGGTAACTGTCATAGCCAAACTAGAAAGCCTGCAAAGGATTGGTACGCTACAGGCCACTGGAGCCTTCAGGAGCAGTCCATCAGCTACTGTAGAAGTCGCTCTTGGGCAGCTTCCTCTGGACATCTTCATCAAATCTGAAGCCCTCAAGGCAGCTTACCGTTTGAGGGTTGCAAATCTGTAAAGGGATAGCCTGTCAGGGGCAGGCCATTGCGCCATTGCCAAGACTTTGGCTGCGTGTCCTGTGCTTGACATGACCTCGGACTTCCTAAGCACAGAAGTAGTTTTCACCAAACCCTTCAATGTTGAATTCCGCTCCAGAGATGAGTGGAAACATCAGGAAGTGCATCTCCAAGATATGGAGAGCTTCGTCTGGTACACAGACGGCTCCCTAATCAATGGAAAATCTGGCTTTGGGGTATACAGTCGATAGCCCAGAACAGAACTTTCAGCAAGTCTAGCACGATACTGGACCATATTCCAGGCAGAAATCTATGGTATCTTGGCGTGTGCCAACCTAGGACTAGCCAGATGCTACCAAGACAAAAGGATAGTGATTTTGTCTGAATGTCAGGCTGCTCTTAAAGCTCTCGACTCAAATGAAGTCACCTCAAAATTGGTCTGGGAGTGTTTCAACACCCTCTGCAAACTTTCCACACGGAACTCTGTAACTCTTGGCTGGGTCCCAGGCCATGTAGGCATTGGCGGCAACAAGAGTGCAGATAAGCTGGCAAAAATAGGTGCGAGCATGCCATTCTTTCAGGAGTCAAGCAGGGATGCCTATTGTTACCTATCCTCTTTCTTATGGTCCTTGATCTCGTTATGAGGGAAGCGATGAATCGAAACAGAGGAATCCATTTGGGAATTAATTCAAGGCTGGAAGATCTGGATTTTGCAGACGATCTATGCATCATGGCCCAAAGTTTCAGAGATATTGAAACTAAGCTGAACGATTTAAAAGTGGAAGCGCAACAGGTGGGCTTAAAGATAAATGCCAGGAAAACCAAGGAAATGAGGTTGAATAACCGGAACAACACCCCCCTTAGAACTGGAGAGGAAGAGATAGAAAGAACCAATGAGTTCTGCTATCTGGGTAGCTTGGTGGCCAGGGATGGAGGAGCTGACCAGGACATAACAAACAGGCTCAACAAAGCAAAGGCGGCATTCGCCCAGCTGAGACCAGTTTGGAGGAGCTCCGAGATTAGAAGGAAAACAAAGCTCCGAATCTTCAACTCGAATGTCAAATCTGTCCTTCTCTATGGTTGTGAGACGTGGAAAATAACAGCTGTTGCCACAAGAAAACTCCAAACCTTCCTCAACAAATGCCTTAGACCCATACTAAACATATGGTGGCCCGATGTAATTTCCAATGAAGATGTGTGGGCTAGAACCCAGCAAGAGCCTATTATAAGGCAGCTGAAAAGAAGAAAGTGGAGGTGGATCGGGCATATCCTACGACAATCTCAGGATACAGTGGCGAGACAGGCCTTGGACTGGAACCCCCAAGGAAGCAGAAGACGAGGGAGACCAAGAACCACTTGGAGACGGACGGTGGAGAGAGTTCTAGGGACAAGGCATGACATGGGCTAGAGCAAAGGAACTGGCAAACCATAGAGACCGCTGGAGAGTGTTTGTCGAGGCCCTATGCTCCCCCTAGGAGCTCAAGGAAATAAGTCAAATGCCATTCTTTGGACCAGAGCCATTTTGTGGCATCAGCAAAGCTGCCGCTAAACATGCAATCAACAAATGGTCCAGGGGACAACACCTAGAGCATTGGCGTAACTATCCTGAACAATCACTTAGCAAAAAACTGCTCTCAGAACCTAGCACCCTTTCACTTGCTGGCTGCTAAAGCTGGGGTGAGGGCAGGTCAAGCAGGTATTTGCTCTTATCACTGGACACGGCCATTTCAAGAAACATCTCCACACTCTAGGAATTGTCAATGACATTCAGGATTGTCGACTTTGTAACCAGCCTGATGAGACTGCAAAACACATTATTCTTGATTGCGACGATAATATATAACAAACTCAGTAAAACTGCTCATACATATTCAACTCACTCAATGTAAAAAAAAATATAATTGGCTTTTAAAAAATCCCTTTTATTCCCTCGAGTTTTTAGAGAAGAAAACTGTATTTTAGCTTGTAAGCTTATGTTTTTTGTAGGCTTATATACAGGGTGATTGAAAAGTCTGGGTACGGCTTAATATTTTAAAATATAATGCAGATTGAGCTACAATACTTGGTACAAAGTTACAGGGCATAAAACTCTATTTTAACACATATTCAGTGATCCAATAACTCTTCAGGGGGACGGCCCACAAGGAGTAGGAAGAAAATCTTAAAAGGAAGCATAGGTCAATATGCACATCAAATTAAAGGTCTTTTTTAGTAGAATACAATGCCGCAAACCGCACTTCAAAAGGTTGATCCTGCGCAAAATGACAGTTGTTCAAAGATTCATTTAATTTACATTGCTATTATACGCTTACTCCTCAGGGGGCACAGCCCTAGGAATCGGAAGAAAATTGTTAACGTAAGCATAGGTCGATATGCACATCAAATTAAAGGTCTTCACTAGTAGATTACGATGCCGTAAATTCAAGCTCAAAAGAATGCCTGAGTAAAAAATGACAGTCGTTCAAAGATTCAAAATGGCGGATTCAAAACATCTTTGAACATCTGCCATTTTGCGCAGGATCAACCTTTTGAAGTACGGTTTGCGGCATTGTATTCTACTAAAAAAGACCTTTAATTTGATGTGCATATTGACCTATGCTTCCATTTAAGATTTTCTTCCGACTCCTTGTGGGCCGTCCCCCTGAAGAGTTATTGGATCACTGAATATGTGTTAAAATAGAGTTTTATGCCCTGTAACTTTGTACCAAGTATTGTAGCTCAATCTGCATTATATTTTAAAATATTAAGCCGTACCCAGACTTTTCAATCACCCTGTATTTTATGACCTGTGACTAGTTATATTCTTGACTGTTGCTAATACATGTATAATGTCAATTGCAAATAAAGATTTCTATTCTATTCTATTGAGTGTTTTCCACGTAGCTTTCCTGGTAACAATAATTACAGGACACAGCTGAAATTTGTGTGTCCAAGATACTAAAGTTTATAAATAATGTAAACACTTCCGCACACTTACTCGGGTCTGTAAGCCGGACAGAAGGTGGCTGGTATCTTGGCTATGGGTCTCGGCCGCACCAGCCCCCTCGGCCTAGGAAGTGTTCCACCTCCCTCGTGTAGCGGAAGTGCCTCGTTGGTCGGGGTGATATCTCCATCATCGTAGGACCTGGGTCGCCAGCCAGGAGGTAGCGGTGTTGGGGAAAAACTGCTTGTACCTCCTCCTCCGGCCATCCCATCCTCCAGAGACTCCAGGGACTTCCCTCTGCCCCCTCGGATCTGAAACAGAAAAATATGATTTGAATTTGGTTATTTGGAGTCTCGAAGCTGGGCAACGTGTATAGCCAGAAACAACCCAAACAAACCGTTTTATGTTCTTTGAAGACCATATCAAAATGGACCTTTGGTTATGAAACTGTTGAGAGTAATAAACTATTGCTTTTCACTCTTAAAACTAACACAGTTGTTATTAAGTTACAACAAAACGGAAAGATAATTTTTAATTTAAAATATTACACTGTTAAATATTTAACCTTAAAACCTAGATAGTTAATTATGTAGAATGTTCTAAACATAAATGAATCAAACCCTTTCATTATTATCACAAGTAATTATTATTATCTTCACCCAGTTTAAATAGTAAACCAAAATGTTTACTAGACTTAAAAAATCACTTCAAACACATCTAACCACCCAAAAGACAATTAACTCTGGTAAAGCTTTTCAAAACCGAATTCGAAGGATAAGGAACAAGTAAGTTTTAGATCAGTTGGGAGGAGTCTACTCCTTTCATAAAACCAGAACTAGCTCTTCTAGAGGATTCCGGTTTGAAGAGCAATTTAGCAAGGAGAAAGATAATGTACCAGGATTAAGACTGGATTGATCTTTCAGGGTGTAGTCAAGTAAGGGAATTTCTTGAGGACTACAACAACGTAAAACAATGTTAGCAAAGTAAACTTTAGCCTACATAAAAGGTCAAGAAGAAATTTCAAGATAAGCAATATACAAGAGAACGACTCGCGATCTTTTAATTTGGGGATGGAACTCCCAGGCTCTTGTTGGCTGACTGTGAGGCAATTTAGGTGGGAATACGGTACTGTAATTAGGGACTTCATGTCTCTGAATTTCAGTTTGAGATTCTTTCTGTTGTGCTCAATTTAAGGAGGTGATATAGTAAAACTCAAGGGCTTTTGGGAGGATAGCAGGGTTACTTGAAAGAGGAAGAGGCTTTTCTGACACAAGAAACACAAAACTGTACACTATACACAAAAATTAGAATATTTCACCCTCACTTTTAAACTAAAATAAAGGTGTTTGTCTTCTTATTAAAGGCGAAGAAAGATATCATTCTACTTACCTTAAACTTTCCTGGGTCAAAAATTCATTAAAAGGTGGTGAAATTTTAAATCACTGTTTAGTACAGTCTTGTGATTCTTGGTCCCTTACCCATTCAAGTCTTCTAGCCTAACAAAAATCTTGAATCCTCTAAATTTCATTAACATTTAGGAATTGAATTAGGTTTATAGGCAATTAGGCCAGGGAAGGGACATAACACTTGTACACATATTCTTCCCCATCACTAGTGGTTTATGTAAGGGACTGGTCCAAACCCTGGTTTTGTTACCAACAAACCTCTTCCTTGGAGAGGACCAATAATTGATAGCCTAGTGACAAATAGGACCTGGGCCTGAAAACAAACCTTAGAATCAAACCAGCAACCTTCATATCTGAAGGCGAACATTAACCATCAACTATAAGTTAACAAGCCTAGGCCTACCTTGATAGGCACAATGTCGGTAGTGCAGTAGAAGCGACGAGACGCCTCTATCTCCCACGGCTGGTGGAAGCTCTTGACGTTGGCAAGTACTCGCGGACAGTCACAGTCACTCTCTTTGGCAGGGGCTGGGGACTGCTGCATGCACATGCCGCATACGTTACATTACTACACACTCGGTCACTCGAGCAGTGCCGAACCACTCTCATCACATGCTTGGACTAACCCAACCTAACCTTGTACTTGTAGGCCTAATTTAGTTCTTAGTTTGAACCTTTTTTGGGATGGCAGACTAACCCACTTAACCCTACACTTGTAGGCCTAATTTAATTGTTCTTTTGAACTTCATTTTGGTGACGGTGAATACCTTAGTATTTAAAGCAGTTTGACTTTAAACATGGCCTAAAAGTTAAATTTTACGTACAGGACTACTTTAGTTGTTTTGGGATTTAGAGTTTAGGAGGGATAGCTAGTTACTATTTTTATAGATTTAATGGGATTAAAGCTTTAGAAATTAATGAAATTAGGATACTTATCCATCAAGTACTTTAAGTAAATTTCCTATCAGCTAATATAAATTAATATTTTGAGAGATTAAGTAGGCCAAAAGTCAAAACTTTAGAAGTTAAGATCAACTTTAGGATTCTGAAGTAGGCATATGAAATACAGTTTTTTTTATAAAAAATGCAGTTTTATAAACCACTTATAGAGTGTGCTACATTCTAAAATTAATTTAGTTTTTAGTGTGTATTTAATAGGATAGTTTACTTGACATCAAAGATGCTATGACTTGCAATATAAGTTGACCTATCACTTTGGCTTGGTTTAGATTAAGTACTAAACAAAATCAATACTTAAACAAATAAAAATAAACCATTTGGCTGTGTACAAATATTTTTAAAAATACTTAATTTTGGTTTAATTCTTGGGGAGCATAAACTATTATAAATTCCACACTATTTTAAACTAGATAGTGTAATAGAAGAAAAATTCCCATAAGTACCTAAATGCACAACAACAAACAAAAATTACTGCTTCTAATTTTCTACCTATAACATTAACCACCACAAAATTGGTTCATAGTTTGAAGAAATAAACAAACTACCCTCAAAAGCAGAACTTTTAAAACTATTTTTGGATATTAAAATAACCAGCATTAAATATTATTTTGACAACAAATTTAGTTTTTTTTTGTAATCTTTAAAAAAAAGACCCTCATTTTCTAACCGGCCCAAGCATAATGATGAGCAGTGGCCCTTTTAAGCTTAACAAGAAATACAATTTTGTGGACATAAGTGTAAAAAGGGGAGAGGCACATCAATTGTGAAAATGTGCTGCAATAAAATATCAACAAAACCTGTTTATACTTTGAATATAAAGATAACAACGAGGGTATAACATTTGGACTGTGCAGCTAATAAGGTCTGCATTCAAAATTAACTGGTGAAGCGTCAAAGAAAAATATAAAACAAGAAAATTAATTGAGGAACTTTGTTGCAAAATTTTACATACAGTGCAAAATAGATGTTCTGATGGAAATGGCAATATATTAATTATGAACGCAAGCGGATGAAAAAAATGTTAACAAATTTTGAATGATCCAATACAAATTTACTCTACAAGTAACTTTTTAAAAAACTGAGAAACAAAGTGTTTTGTAGTTTTCAATTATTCTACAAGTAGTTTTAAGTTCAGGTATGACTTTTCTGTAGTTGCATTCTAGGTTAAGATTGTCTTGACTAGTCACTTGTTTAATAGATTTCTATTAGTAAATGTTTTATGTGATAGTAAAATTGATATGGATTAAATTCTATAAATCGAAAACCTTTTAAAATACAGTAAATTGTAAGAAATCTAAGAATTCTAAGAAATTCTGTGATGATGTTTGATAATGATACCAAAATTAAATTCTATTAAACCATATTGATTGATAATTACACACACAGAAATTGCAAAAACTTTTAGTCCATGACCATACAAAAATGTTTTAAAATAGAAATCGTATGATATGTATGATAATGATACTGATATTTTGTAAGAATGATGTTTTATAATGATAAAAAGTTAAAAGTATTTTTAAATATGGAAGACACACATGCAAAAGTATTATAAAGGTAAATAGCAAAAATACTGTTTGCCTAAGATTATAATTTTGGCCAGTTCTCTTAGTTTAAGTTTTTTACAATATTTTTAAACCAAAGAATATAAACATTTACTGCTTTATTAGTTACAATTTTCAAATTAAAAGTCCCAATCAAAATAATTAGTACAGTAAAAGAAACGCAAATAATAAAAATACTGAAGAAATTGCCAGTTAAAATCAAAATCTCTTTACTAATCAAAACTTTTAATGTTACAATTTGCAAGAAACCTTTGTCAAGATAAAAACTTCAAAATCGTTTTTGATCTATAAGTAAATTCTGTGAAAAAATACTGAATAAAAATTAGAAAATAAATTCATGTTAACAAATTTCTCATGCAATTTATTAAGTTGTTTTCGTTACTTATTGAAATCATGCTTCGCTGAACGGTGTTAGTAATGAATATCTGTTAGAAAACATGGTTATAAGCAATTGGAAAATGCAAAATTTTTCAAACAGTTTAGTAAGCAAATGTTATAAGCAATAAGCATGTCCTAGTAATTAAATTAATCTGTGATAAATGGCATTTGAGAAAATATTTTGTAAAGAAAATAATGAGAAAGGTAGTCAGTGAATGAGGGACATTAACTAGAATTTTCTCAGATCACTTCATACATAATAAAATATTTAAAACTTTTCAAATAAATGAGAAATTGAACTAACCCCTTAAATTTTCGGTCACTGGTGACTGAAATTAACAACTGATAAAGACAAATATTGTTATAATTTAAACTTTAAAGTTTGAAAATAAGTATGTTTATCAAATATAACTCATTTATACAAGTGGGGCCATTGAGGACTACATACAAATTCTAAGAAATCTTGTTTTTCCCATCCAAAGATATACACAGTAAGTCAATGCATAAGAAATTTTACAAAGAATATTCTGATTGTAAATTTATTTCAGTATGAAGTGCTCCGCGTTGGAGAGGAGGAGTGTATACACTGACTACTTACCTTTCTAGTGGCTACATACTAACCGTACTCTCATTAAAACACTACTACAATCTAGAAGTATAAACTATCCCCATCTACATCAAGACAATTGATTTCTAAGCTTTCTACACATCAACACGGTTTTTTGTTAACTGTCTCTCATAAAGTTCTACACATAGCTCTACAAATTGAAATTTTGAACTGCTCAAATCGTAATGAACTAATTAAAAAGACTTTAACAGTATTGTGGTACTGTACTATAAATTAAAAGTGATTTATAAAGTGTTTAAAGCCTATACCTCACCTAACATAGTCAAATGAGCATAGCCTATCCTAACCTAGTTATATTTGCATAACCTTACAACATATTTCTAGCCTAACCACAAGAGTATAAGCCTGACCTAATCGCTTCACCTAAAGCTTAACCAAACCTGACATCATTAGCATAGCCTAATCTAACCATATTATTATTATTATAAACTACTTTAACCACTTTGTCATAACCTAACCTAACCACAAAACAACAGTATTACCAACCTGATTGTGAGGCAGGAGCACAGGTGTGTGAGGCGGAGGGAACACTTTTCCCGCTCTGAGGTCTTTGACTCTCTTGATGGCGAGCAGGATCCGTTTCTGGTGGCCGAGCTTTACAATCCCGATGTCCTCAAGGTCCTCCCATGTAAGTTGTGTTACGTCGTTTATCGTGTTGTAGCCCTGACAAGCCAAAGCAGGGCCGTACTCCTCCAGTCGTAACAGCCTCAGCCATTCTTCTAGTGAACCCTGAAAAATTGTTATTTTAAAACTACTGTGCAATCGATTTAGTAAAAGTAGAAATGAAGCCATCTTATTGTTTCATATTATATTAGATATCATATTATGCTTCAACTTCTAACTCCTAATATAGTGGTTTCATTATATACTGGTGATTATCATTATCTTTACTTTTGAGACAGCAAAAACTAGTGCATATTATTTTTTGTAAACCTGGTTCTGAATAAATGACACTGTTCAGCAAGAGCAAACTCTTCATTGAATCTCTTCGTATAGGAGTATGGAGCGAATAATGTAATCCAAAGTATGAACCAATTTAAAAATGTTTAGGATTGTTCTTGTTATATAGCAGGCTTGTCTCATCAAAAAGAATCCATCCTTGGGACAATGAACATGAAACATGAAACAATTAAATTATACACAGTAATTGAACGATTTTACTGCCACAAACAGGATTTTCAAACAAGAAAGGCTTACTAAGATGAAAGGAAGATTTTTTCTTCAATTGAGAATAACTAAACTAAGAAAGAGAAAATTTTCAGAAAGTAGCTGAAAGAACATCCTTCCTTAGTTGAAAATTATTCATAAATTCATAATCAGTGACAGTGAAGTATTCTAATGTTATGTGTATATCCTGTAAAGTTGTGTGTCTCTTGTGCCAGTTTGGACTCTTTCCCAGCCAGGTAAGCTTGCTATCCTCACAAAATAAATCCTAAAACAAGGTGCTCTGTTTATTGCTTATCCTCAAACATTTAGTTATGTTTAAGTAAGGCACAATAAGTTGCGCTGAGATAGTGCCACTTTATTTTAATGAACGTTTATGTTGTCACTGCTATTTATAGATACAATTGTTATGCCTTGAGTGGGTTTATATTAGCTTTGTCACTCTTCAAACTCACAGGGATGTAGTCAGGCAAGCCGTCGCTGATGTTGAGCTGAGCGATCTCCGCCTTGAGCTTCTTGCGATGGTTGGGCTTCTTGATGCCGATGGCTGTGAGGTCCTCCGGTGTCATCCTGGAGATGGTGTACATGTCGTAACCAGCCGACAAAAACAGTGGGAAGTACTCCTCGAAGCGGATGTCCATCAGCCACGCATGCAGTACGTCCTGGTCCTATGATAATGACAGAGTTGCAAACACATTACAAACTAAGTTGTCAAGCGTGTACGCTCACATCAGTTTGTTCTTAGTAAACAACAAACAAGTCACTAAAACTAGAGATAAGGCATCCGCTGTTAACAATATTGCAGGATAGAGTTATGTCGCAACGAGACTGAACGTCAGCATAAGTATCAGTAATATGACGCAGTTTAATACTGAAAGCAACGATGTAGATGAGTTAACCTGTTCCAGTACACGTAAATGTGTTTATACAGGGTGTCACAAAAATCTGTAGCGGGCTATGCAGAGCGGGATTCTACATACAAAAATAAGATGAAAACCAAGAATTAAATTTTTTCCAAAACGCTTTGTTAACCAGATATCGCTATTTTGTATTTTTTACATTTATACATGTTTTCTTTAGATTGTTCAAACCGATCCTTATGAAAGGAACATCATAACCTCCATGTAACCGATTCATGTGAAAATTATTTTTTTCCTCACATGGGTCAATTCTACCTTAACCTACAAACAAAGTTTCATACGAATCGGATGGAACAATCTAAAGATAAAAAATGTTTATGTGAGAAATTTAAAATAGCAGATATCTGGATAACAAAGCGATTTTGGGAAAAATATTATTCCTGACTTTCATCTAATTTATATTGTTGTATGTGGAAGTTCTGCATAGCCTGCTATGAATTTTTGTGACACCTTGTAGTATATTCCTTTAGTTAACTTATCCAAAAGGTTTCCTTTCATTTTTGCATTATCTGCTGATGGTTCAAGCCTTTTCAAGTCCAGAATAGATTCCATTCCTGAATGGTATGAGCACTTAAGAGGAAATCCTCGTTCTGTACTTTGAATCAGGTTGAATTGACAATGGTTGTACATAAACAAATAATTCACAGCTGAAAGAACACACACAGTATGGATGATGGATTGATCTCTGGCTCTTCTGAATTAACTAATAAAGTTTTTAATTTAAACATTAATTAGTAATTAGCACCGTGTATAAAAAAAATTGACACCGAACTAAGGAAAACAGGTTAGTTCATAACAGTAAATAAACAAACAGATCTAGACAATTTCTATTTATAAAGATAATCTTTCCAATGTCATACTGACCGGTACACCCTGCAGCAGTAACCGTTCTACCCTCGCAGGTGCTGAGGCGACCAGATCACTGCCTACGCTGCTGGAGCTGAGGCTGGGCCGAGGGTGAGCATGAGGCGCAAGGTGACAACCACTGGCGCGACCACTGTCTAGAGAGGCGGTGGAGTGGCGCGATCCACTACCACTGGACCCTGGACTGTCTCTACCTGGGCTCTGTAACATAGAGCTAAATCAGTGACAAGGGTCTACCAGTGGCGAGGGGCTACATCAGTGGCAAGAGGCTACATCAGTGATGAGGGGCTACATCAGTGATGAGGGGCTACATCAGTGGCAAGAGGCTAAATCAGTGATGAGGGGCTACATCAGTAAAAAGGGGCTACATCAGTGATCAGCGGTATATTAGTTACAAGGAGCAAATGGCAAAAACGAAAAATGTAGAATGGAATTTTGGTAAAATATAAATATAGAGTAGGATAGCGAAGAATTAAAAGCCAAGGGAAACCGCAAAAATAAGCATAGTAGCATTGTTGAGAGTTTTGTAATATTTAACAATTTGGTTTTCCTCATAATAATTACGATGTCACATCTATTTCAAAAGATAATGTAAAAGGATATTAAAATGCACACATATTAGGGAAAGATAAGTCAGTAATTCTCTGAAATTATTTACTAAAATTGCATTTCCATATCTATTGATGAGGATTGGAAATGTTGGTTTGTTGGTTGGAAATTGGTTTTAAAATGTTTTAAAAAATAGGGATTGAAACTAAAGCCTTTTTGTTACTGGTATACCTATGTCTTAGAACAGCAGACAAATTGTATTGCCAATATAACATCTCTAAACCACCTTTAGTTTAGAGTTGCGTTGCAACCGATGCCTTTTACTTTCAATTTGTATTTCCTGCAATGCCAATTTAAGATAATTTTTCTACATTACTTTGGCCTTCTTATTATATTATACTTAAACTCTGGCATGGATGGTTCAGTTTGAAATCTCACAAGAAAAATAAATAGTTCAAATATGTTCAACCGCAATTATAAGTTAGAAGTTAAGCAATAAATACCTGAGTCATGTCAATGCCCTGGTCCTCTTGTAAAGACAGTTGATGATGGTAGTACATCGCACTTTTGTTGCCCCCGGTTACCTGGGTGTACTGGGAAAAAATCATCTTTTTAAGTTTTTACAAGGGTGAGAGAAATTTAGAAAGAAATAAGCTAAATACTCTAACTACAATTTTAACTAACCACAGTTCATACATTTTGATAGCAACAGATTGATAGGTAACAATGTGAAATAAAAATACATTCTCATTCTATAATGTTAAACACAAATATAGCTTCTTTTACCAAAAAAAGATATAAACAAATTGTAAATAGAAATAAAGTCTGCTGTCATTTAATAATTATCTCTAACAACTTTTGAACTTTTTCCAACTGGATAAATAACTTGAGACATTTGTTCTATTCTTTTTTTTACTGCATTACAGTAAACTGTGAATTGAAGTTATTAGTTTAATACTGTAAAAGGCTTTTATTTTTGGATTTATGAATTTTTACTGGATTGTACCAGAATTATTAACAGAACTCTCCGCCAGTGGTAAAAAAATCAAACAAGCTAGGCCTAATAAAACCACTAATGATTAATATACCTACGTTAATAATATAAATAAGTATATTTACTAAAATTATTTAAAGTTTTTGTTTTTGTTTTATTATTCATAAACAGTATGTCAACCACACACAATCTGCGGCCATTGACTTTTTTTTTTTAAGCATTTCTTCATCGCCATCATCTATAAATATAAATAAACCAAGTTGTTTTAGTAAATGTGGACCGAGGTTTAAGAAGTATATTCAGAAAAGGGTTGTCAAAAATGAGGGAGAAAACATACAGGGTTTATTAACAAACATTTCTTAAGATAAATAACAATGTAGGCTATTAGAAAGATTAGTTAAACAAATGTGTCAAACGTTTAGACAGTGTTTACTAACCACTTTAAAAGTCTCTAAGCATGTTTAAACTGATAACAAAACACCCAGAAGAAGAGTGCCAAACGTGTCATATCAAGCAGTCAAAACTTGAAGATTTGAATGATGGTTTTTGAAAGTCAATCAAACTTTGAGTGCAATACAAGCATGAAAAGGTCTAGTCTATAAGATTGATTAGAGAGAGAAAATAAACTCTACTTACTAATATAAAAATACTTTTTTAAAGCTACAAGTCTTTTTTGTAATTTGAATTTTGCTTACAATATTTATATTGTTAAGTTTTCTATTATTGAAATAAGTTTATTCAGTGCATAGCAAATTACCAAGGATTAGAATGATAACTGACACATATTTGTATAGTTAAATAATTTTTTTCTCACAGTGTAAAATAATAAAATAATAAATTGTACTGGTACCAACAATTTTTTCTTGTGTCTCTTTATACGGAATATAAAATCAACATATTAATAACACATGTAGGAAGTAAAATAAAACCTAACATCTTTGTCTTTCTTGATCCAGAAACGTTGTGTATTGTTTCCATCCTGATGGAAAATGTCTGCAATAAACCTTTGAACAATAAAACCTAACTTGTAAAAAATGTGTATAAAATGAACCTGAATTTATTTGTTTGAATAAAAACCTCTGAAGAAAGTGATTTTACTGAGTGAATCACAAGTGAAGCTGGATAAAACAATGGGAAGATTTAAAGACAAAGAAGAGAAGTAAAGTTTATGACATTTCTTCTCAAAACTCCGCAATGACCCCATTGCGCTGAAATATCATCGTTGAATTACAACTAACCTAACCTCGTCTCGGATTAAACTTTTATCCACTTCATGAAATCATCTTTTATTGCACCGCTACAAATGAATCTCTTTAGTTTATCATCTTATTTTGTTCCTCTAGGTGAAGTGAGTAAGATAATATTGGGAACAGAAAGATTGTCAATTTCCCTTTAGTGATGTTTATAAGATGTATTTTCGATGTAGGTTTTTTACAGGTAGCCTACTTAACAAATTTAGAAAATCATAAGGAGAATAACCCAGGAATCCTAGATGGTCTTGCATTTTTTTTTTATGATAACAATATTTTCTAAAAAAAAACTGTTATTGACTAGATCTTGAAGATTATTCCTGTGCCTAGTGTAATGTTCTCAATAAAAAAAAAATGCTAAAGAACAAAAACTTCAAACATAGTCTGAATAAAAAGGGTTTGCAAGGAGAACGTTCTAAATTGTCTGTTAAAATTCTAATGGTTTTCTTAAAACAAAAGTGTTTGTAATTCAGTCAAAAGAAGCTTATCAAACATTTTGGTTTCAAGAAAAAAAAAATCTACTAAACTATCAGACAAAGTAAATTTTGGGGAACTGACATGTTAAAAAAATTATGGAATCATTAACTATGGTGAACAAATTAAAAATTTAAAATCTAAATAATAGAGGGTAAGTTTTCATACCTGGGGTCCCGGGAATGTGAAGGCGGGATAGTTGAACTGTCCTCCGGGAGATTTCCCGGCCATCCCGTAAACATCTCCAACCTCGTAACCATCTGTAAACCACATTGGACAATAAATTAAAACTAATGAGAGTAGCCCTATAAATGACTCGATCCTGCGCTGGCCAATTTTAGAATAAAACTGGCTACAGCTTTTACGAGGAACGTCTAGTTCTATCCTAGTCAAAGATTCAATGTGATTAGTAATACTTAAGCCTACATTTCTAAACACAAATGACAGATTGAATGATAATTTTGCTTGTTCCGTTTCCACAAGACCATTCTGCATGTTCCAGCAGTTAGACCAGAAAGACACAACAGACCAGTTCACAGCTGTTTCCACTCAGGCTGTTCACAGTTGTTTTGCTCTGTTAATGGTCAGCAAGTCATGCAACCCAAAACATTTCCGCACCATTGACTCTTCTTGTTACTTATTTTCTTCACTTCTTGCTTCAGCCAAACAATTTCAAAGCCAAGAAACCTTATTATGTTACTTTTGTGAAGTGACAACAATGTTGTAATTGGTAACATAACTGTTCTAATTTACGAGGATTGTCTGCCAATCAAATTCTTCATCATGCTCCCATCATAGCAACTAAGCAGGATCAAAAGCTAGATCAAATCTAAGATTATGTTGTGTTCACCTACTACTATTCTAGTTCGCCACTCTTCCTACAAAACTATTAGTCTAGTCTTAGTATTTTAAAACGACAAGAAAATAAATTGACACTCCCGCCTAGAATGAATTGCATTTTTTAAGTCCACTGCCAGTTGATGAATGAGAATGAAGTATATCAAAGTGTTTGGAAACGGAAATGAGTGTAAGGGGGGGGGGGGTGAGTTTGGAAGAGGTCTTATTCATTTACACAACTTTTTTCATGGTTAGTCCAAGTGCTTTATAGATTATGGACTATTCACTCTGAGAAATAAACTATGTGTTCAGCAGTCAAGCAAATGTAAGAGGACTAAACCATCCTCTGTTCTGTTTCTGTCTGTTCTGGTTATATAAGTTTACACAACCAATACATTAATATGTGTCCTATCTTTTCAGCATAGAGAAAGAAATAACAACGATACAGTTTTTCCAAGGTACTACATGAAATAACCCTATAAAATTTATAGTTGTTTTACTGACAAGACGTTAGCTCTATTAATCTGAAACATCAGTTGCACTCGTAAACATGTTCCGTCGGGTCAGAGCTTGTTTAGCCTTGAGCGAGGCGCCAGGTAGAGGAGGTAGACTCAAGTGTGGGAGAACAAGTTTCAAGATTACCACGATTGTTGTGATTAATTACCGATTACCATAAACTGGATAAGACTCAATCTCAATGTGAAAGCATTGATCTGCAGTTTTGCAATTTATAATCAGTATTTAGTGAGTCTGGGAGTCATTTCTGATCTAGATGATTTACAATGCTTAAAGTAACTCAAAGATCCTTTTATGGTGATTATTCTATTCTATTTCATTTAATTTTTTATTGATGTTAGATTTGTTTCAAATACATTTCACAAGTACCAGCAGCAGATTCTTCCTTACATTTATTTACAGTACAAACTTGAGACTGGACCTAGCTTGTTGGTAAACAGGTATAATACTTTCGTAAGGGATATTTAGTGTTCCATAAACTAAAGGTTAGTTTTTATATTTTGAAAGTTAACTTCTCATATTCTTCTATTTTACTTGATCTCAGTGATAATTTTTGTTTTGCAGATGGATTTTCTTCAACTGTCCTTTTTTACATCCTTCCACTCATCAATATTCTAAATATTTATTGCTAATGGCCACACTGAAGAATATCCAATGATACAAGTTGGCACAACGTACTGATCCCCTCAAAATTTTTAAACCCACAGGTTAATAGACTAAGTTAGAGCAAACCTGGGTATCAAAATGGTTATAGTGCTTGCCTACATTTTAAAGATGACCACTTGATACTGAGAAATGTCAGTAGCTTTTTTAAGATTAAAAACTGGGTCCAGTGTGTTCGATCATTGGCCTTTCAACAAATGTCTCAAAAGACACGTTTACACAAGGCAAGATGACAGGTAGGTTACCGCCTCCCGTAATGTATTTAAGTAAGATTTCCTGAGGTAGGTAACCTGACAGCCTACTAACTTCAAACGTGGCTTAACAATAAAAACAGTTGATCTCTGTCACTTATGAAGCTACATAGATACGGTGCTCGCTGCTCTGACTCTTCCTTGCTCGCCCCAAGTATATTTCTGGCACAACAACATACTAGAACTGAAAGCGCATGGTCGTCCCATAGTCGTATTTCCTCTGTACCTAAAACATCACCCACATACAAACTAACCTAACCTAACGATTATTAGCTCACCTCTGCCTGGGTCCGTGAATCCGTGGTCCTCGCCCGCACTGCTGTACCCGGCTGACCCGAAGCTGCTACCCGAGTGCCTGAAGCCTGCCTGGCAGTCGGGGACGGCCGGAGGTGCTACCTTCTTGATCTGCACCACTGGCTTGTTAGGCCGGGACATTCCCCCCACTGAAACAAACAATATATTGTATCAATATTTGTCAAGTCAAATATTTTCTTTTGAACCAGTATAATTTATTTTGATGCTCTACCTTACATCCTAGTACCAGGCAGCCCAGAAGCGTCACACATGTTTCAGGTTTTAGGTTAGGTCTAAAGAGTCATACCATCACATAGATGAAGCCATTGGGGATTTGGTGTTGGTGGGATTTGTACCCGGAATCTCAAGGACCGAAGCCCCATCCCATCCATTCTCCCCCATCTCTACCATTTGACCATCTCGATCCACAAACATTACTAAAAATTAAACAAAAATATGGTGATGTAGTAATTATTGTGCCAGTAGTCTGTGTATTTGTCTATGCAATTTTCTTCACTTTTTGTAATAGTATATTTCACTGCTAGAATAGCTTGTAAAACACTAACTTGCCCCAAAATGGAACTTTCGTGACGAGTATTGAACGATATGGCGATGAAAAAAACTACTTCATCAGACAAAAAAAAAAAATTGAAAACTAAAAAAAAACTTCAGTTGTAACTTTGTTGATGTTAGGTAGTATTGTTTGTGTAGCAAAAGTAATGTTTATGTCAGGAAAAGTCAGCTGATCACTATTTGTTTTTGGTGTATGGAAATTGACGATTTTCGAATATCTCATCTGTTTGGAAATGGGCTATATTCGAATACAGAGTGATGAAAAATAATACTCTTTTAGTTTGGAATTGTTCACTAAACTTGTATAAGATAGTATAATTTATTTCATAACCCAATGACATAATTAGCATTCAGTGGAGATCACAACTGATGGATAAACTGAAAATTACCAAATTAGTTAAGTGTCATTATTGGGTGTATCCTCACTACAAGAGTCTTTATTTGCATAGTATATAAAAAGTACAATGAGAAATACTAAAAAACATTCAGTTACATCTGTTCACTAATTAATCCATTTATTGCCATGGGATGAAAATGTAAAACTAATTTTGTTATAATCTTTATCAGCTTTTCACCGATAAAAGGCCAAAATTTAATTTATAAATCTAAGGGCTTATATAAATATCATATTTATCATTCTATAATTGTACAAAACAACACACCAATGAATAAAAAAATTGACATTACAACCCATTATTCTTCAATGCAAAGACAACAATAGAGAAACTCATTAAAGTGTACTGAGCCATTAAAATGATCATGTTACAGTCAACTGTAAAACTTTTCTTTGAGTTGATAAAGATAATTAACTGAACAAAGACTGCCACTCCTATACTTTGAGACAATCAAGTTACTAATTACAAAAGAATATTTGAAACTTGGGAACAAATTGGCAGTTCAAGCAAAGTAGTTTCATGATTTAAAATGCTCGATGAACTTTCACCAAAATGTTATTCAGTCTAAGAATAACATTTGACTTTCAGTACCCACTACTGTACTTGTCAAATAAAAACCAGACAAGAAAAAGAAAGATTTCATCAGGAACAAAATACATTTTTCAGTGAATCATTTAAGGTCAAAAAATTGTCATTTTCCTTGGATGTGTTGCAATGATATATTGGTTCCATGTTTTATATTTTTAAGTTTATAAATTAACAATGTAACTGTCTCGTACTCTTGGATGGTTTTTATTAAATTAAAAATTGTTTATTTAAATCCTCTCACACCAAATCTTCAGTAGCAGTGTTAACACATTTCAGCAAATTTCTCTATAGGGAAGGAGCTATTACCCTAGGTCTCATGGTAAGACCTAGGCCCGGGACCGATTAATTATTTCATTTTGATGTCCCCAGACGTCAAAAACACCATCCGTTCATAATGTTATACATTATTATATATATAGATTTATGTGTTCGTGAACGAGATAGTTGACTAATTTTTGTTCAAATTTGATAAAATTTGGTTTGAATGCGTATACCGGGATAAACCTCAATGAGTTCGCAAACCAGCATGATCGGATCATGGAAACAGGGTTTTACGGAGTAAAAATGGGGTTTTCTAATTTCGGACCCTCAAAACATAAAATTTCCCAATTTCTCTCAAGAAAATTTTGAAGAGATTAAAAAACAAATAGCGTAGTATATCAAAGTGTTTTTGTACAATTATTGGTTACGGAGAGAATAAAAAAATTGGGAATTTAAAACTGGTGAATATTGTAAAATGTTGTCATTTGCTTGATTATTGATTTATTTGGATCAAACTTGGCAAATTTATTAATTGTATACTTAGGATATTAATTTTTTTAAATTAGGTACTTGTTAAACCTAATGTTATTTCAATACTTGGCAAATTTATTAATTGTATACTTAGGATATTAATTTTTTTAAATTAGGTACTTGTTAAACCTAATGTTATTTCAATACATTTAATTGAAAATCCAATCAGGCAAATGGAAATTTGCTTAGTCTGCAGGTTTGCTGCAGCGGGGATATTCCACTTTATGAGGACAGTAAATTCTTTCTAATTTCCTCCTTAGGTTTTCAATTTACGCAATGACACTCATTCTTACCGAGTCTGATCCCGTATTGGGATTTCTGTAATCAGTGTCCATTATTTCCTGGAAGAATAACTGTCCATGAATAATCCACACATCATTATAACACCCAGTACTTACTTAAGGTCAAATATAACAATACATAATGACTGGACCTTTAAACTTTCACTCTTCCATCTGTGGTAAATATCACACCACTGCACTACCTTCAGTGTATTTGTGGTCATTTCTATGTCAGTCCAATGCAAAACCATAACTTGTGTTGAAGAAATCAGAAGTACAGATTCAAAGGTCTTTGAATTAATGAAATATTTAACCTACCATTAAAAAGGACCTGCTTGTCCTTTTATTCATTTGGATAATGGAAAGAAATAGGCCTAAGCAGGCTCAATTTTATTCCCTAAGCAGGAAACAGCTACTTTAGACGTTTCTGATTTCTGACGCATGTATTAAAACAGCTATTTTTGCTGCAGTTTGATGAAGAAACCTTTTAAACCTAACATGGAAAAAGGCAAGAAAATAATAAACAACAACAACTAGTGATATACAAACAAAACATAACAAACTAAAATAGACAACTTTCTATGCAATTATAGTAAATACCATTCTGGTGCCCAACATAGGGTGGAAGTGGTACACACTGAGTTAAGGGTTATTAAGGGGGTTGGGTAGGAACAATTAATTAAAATTCACCGGGGAGAGCAACTGTTTGCAAAACCCGGATTACAGTTTACTCATTCAGAGGAATTAACTCTACTATAACGTACAATCGTATTACACTAGTTGTAGGTCTACATGTCGAAACTAAATGTAGTTATAGTATCAAAAACAAATTTAAATAATCTTAAACATAATATGGTACCACACTTTGTCGAACAAATCTTTTTAGACATACCCTATTCTGTGAAATAAGGTTTCAACATCTGCCCGAGAAGGGTAACACAATTTTAGGTAATCTCTGTTCTAAATACAGCATCATAAACAAATTGAGCGTTATTGTAAATCATTCAACAAGTTTTCATAAGTAGGTTGATAGGAAAGATTTACTTAAACAGGTTAGAAGCAATGTTGTTTTATAAGTATAAAAAATAGATAGGAACTGCTATTTCTAAAAATTATCAAAATAAAATATGTCATATTTTGAAATCAGCATGGTACTACTAGAGTATATTGATTACATTATGTAAAGACTCTTGCAAAATTATCTAAAATAATGAATTACAGATTTGGAGATAACTTGGTAAAGAGGGTAGAATAGTCTATGGCGGTAGATATCTAATTCAGTACTTCTAAGGACAGTTGTTCGCTACATTTTATTTTTTATTTCTACCCAAAAAGCAATTTTGACAAATTAGGAATGTGTATCAAAAGCACACTTAAAATAATTTGTTTTTCTATCAGCCAATAAATGTTAGTTGGAAAACCAGCTTATTTAAACATGAAATTATCTTATAAAACAAAGACTTTAAAATACAACAATCTAACATTGTAGAATTCAAATGCATTTAAGTCCTATGAAAAGCAACGGTTTGCATAAATAATATGCCTAGTAAATTGTGATTTCTATTTTATCAAGGTGGCAGGGAAATGCACAGAAATGAAACTCTTTCAACCCTTTAAACATTAAATACGCTTCTAAAAGGGGAGAATTAAAAACTCCAAACACACAGAGCTGCATAACAATTGCCTGTTTTGTTTTCAATTTCTTCTCGCTTTTCTGTTTAAGAATTGTAAATGTTTGTTTGAAGATTACAATTACAAAGTTAAACGTTTTTTCAAAATTAAATTTTGATTAGGTTACCCTGTACAGTATTAGTTAGTTAAAGTCGGAAACTTAATTGTATTTTAATAGGTAGGAGTACTAGTAGTATAAATCCAAACTATTAATCAATAATTTTAATTTTAAATTATTGTTGCCTTAAGGATTAATAGTGACACAAGTATAGGTAATCTTTTGTCTGAAACTCCTCATTTTTCAATAGATGTGGATAAACCTTATCAAAACCCACGTAACGAAAATAACCGTATATAAATTATTAAAAATGTAACTATCATTAATTATCCCAGATTTTTACAATATTGATTCCGTCCCAGAAATATTCTATTCCTCTTTACAAAATAAACACACCATACACAAATTTGCAATAGCTCAACTGTATGACTTGCATACAGAAAACACTTCATTACAACCCAACTAAGCGCCAGGACATTTCAATATCAAAGGAACGTTAGCGATTCACTGCTGTACCTGGATACACTCCGGTAATTTACTACAGCAAAGTTGACATTGCAAAGCCTAAAGGTATGACGAGTGACGACACGTCCCTTTCGGGCGCAAACATGGTGAGGGTGAAGCAAAATAATGTTAAATATCTAAATGCAAGCTGGATGCAAGTCTCAATATACCTTTTCTTTTAAGAGATAACTTATGTTTAAAATTGAGGTGTAAGTAGTGATTTAGTAGAACATAATATAGCTGTAAGAGACTTAATGAAGTGAGTAACACTTTTATTGTCATGTCTT